CATACGTAGCGCATATTGGTACAGTCAGTTTTGGCCTTCGAAACTGGGGCGTTGACTTGGTCACACTACCGTTCGACACACACACCTTCCGAGATGAGTACAGCCACCCGCATCTTCCAGCGTCACCAGAAGTATGTTTACAACTCTACACACTGCAGCATGAATTTGCAATCTGAGGGTGCGAAGCGGTTTCGTTCAGTTTCCTGAATGGAAACAAATGATTTATTGAGCAACTTAAGAGCGGCTGCAAGAATCTCGGAGGCTTTTCTTCTTTTGGCAATTGATGAACGCCGCAATTTCTTCCTTCATTAGTGCAGTATCTTCGACCACTAACAGAGCCATAAATGTTACAGATGCAGATTCCGCGAATATATCTGGTGCACGACTGGATGGTCACAGGATGTGCTCTACAGAGCTGGAGATCCTGTCATCAAGATCGTGAACGATGTCTACAGCTACGTTGCACAAAGCAGAGTCACGGGATCATTTCCAAAGGGATCTTTCCCAAATCACCGACACTGGAAAATCTCTCCACTTCGGAATGATAACGATTTTCTCTTGCTTGGTAATATTCAGATGAGTTGAATAACCGTGGGACTCAGCCTAGTGTAGGAACACCTACTGCAGGCCCCTACAGTCAATTGGTCAGATGAGGTGAAGTGACACTAACGTGAATATGACTCGCCTAGTGGAGGGCAAGTTTCACTGCCCATCCCAATCAGACGGGGATGTGGTCGAATTGGCCAGTTGCCTGCCCAAAGTTGAAGTTCCGGAGCACTCAAGGCCGTTACCCTCAGGCGAATATAAACGTATTAAGAATATGGTGCAGCAGTACATCAGACGAACCTGTGCGGAAATTCGAAATTCCTGCAATGACAACAATACTGAGCCCTAGTACTCGGTTTCCTGCGGACATCCTTTCCTAGCAACCTGTTGACCAGAGTTATCATCTACTACACTGCAGCTGCTGCCGAAAAGTATGGTGAACTTTGATTGGAGCCAGGCATCGGTATATCTAAGCAGGACCATATATATGCGGTATTCTTGCCCAATTCACACATACAGAAATGTTGTATTGGACATGCTGACACCCAATAAAATTTTTCCAAGGTGCCCAAACCCAGTTAGCACTCCGAAAAGCCTTTAGGAGAGCGAAAAACACCGTTTATCAGGAATATCACAATCTGAACGCAACAATTGTTACACGGGGACGGAATTCCCTGGGTATATGTAGGAGAACCGCCTCCGGTGTTACTCGGCTCCTACAGTAGAATAGTCCTCTAGCGTTCTCTTCACCTCGAGTGCCAAGGAATAAATTGCTGTACTACTGGTTGAGTAATCCGGTGTCGTTTGAAGACGCCTTGGAACGACTGCGACCCAGGATCATTCAACTATTCGAGAAATACACTCAATTGCAAATTAATTTGGTTTTCACGAGAGACTCGACTGAATCTCTCGTTTATGAACTGAATACGCTGCACACAGGCCGCCTAATGTTTCGGTTAGCACGATATTCGAGGTATCGTAGCATATTTTCTTAAAGGAAACTACTCACAAGGTTGCTGTCGAAGTGTTTTCAGCAACCTTGTGAGTAGTTTCTACTATGAAAATAATTCAATTATGTTCCGTCAGTCAATCCGACAGGTGCCTTTAGACCGTCAGACGACGGGAACTAGTTACCCAGAACAGTCGATCAGGTCAACAACGAGCGAACAGAACGCAAAATTGAAACACCCATGCACTGAAAGGGCGTTTTACGGTGCTCTCCACAGTATGGCGTATCTGTCCGCTATGGGCGCCGAAGACAAAGCAATCAAAGGTCTTTTCAACCTCTAATAACGGCGAAATTTGGAAACGTTGACCTCATAGATAAAACAAAGAAAATACATCAATTTATGAACTGACGAGTCACACCATTTGCGATCCGATTGATTCGTTTGCTCCTTGCACTGACTGGTTTTACATTCATTTGGACTTTTGACTGGCCACGATAATGACGTAACATGACTAAGTTATCATTTGCTGTTTAGCTTCACTTAAAGAGTTACACAACAAGCGGCTATGAACTCAACTCGCAATTCTTTGCTTTGTCACGCGGGATTATTGTCCACCCCAACCGAAAAGACTCGACATTGCAGACGTCCACGTGGAAGAGAATTTTCATGTTTGATTCATACTTACGAGTTATACTCATGCGTAGCAATTACGCAAACTGCACTACACTCGAAATGTCGTTTTTATGACAGTGTGAGAGGTGACTGAAAGTGACTCACGTTCATTTGTTCGAAAAAGTTTGTAAAATTTCTATTGACAATTAGTATGCGCAGGCAAATTCGTCTTTACTTTTACTTGTATTTACTAATGTACATTCGAATGTCTCATGACTTCCGCTTCCCTCTTGCATTTGAAACATCTCAGGGAAAAATAGAATTCCAAACAGAAAAGATATAACCGTTTGAAATATCATATCACATGGCTTGAGGCAACCGTTACCCTGTATACTAAGACTGACCCCGAGCACTGATTTTATCGTAGGACGATTTCAACGTTTGGTTTGACTACGCTGAGGAAAAATGAAGTTCCATCACTGTAAAAACTAGCACTCAAAAGCGGACAAATTGGAACATGCCACGGCTGAGTGAATATTGGCAAGATACATTGCCTCACTGCATACACTGCTGTCCTCGAGCCGAATACACAAATATCCGATCACAACAAACAGGGAGCACTTGGCAGAGCAGAGGCTATCATTATGGGTATTCAATTTGCCGCACATAAGCCCATGCCGTCATAGTGACGTGTATCGAGGGAACACCCATCCGAAAAAAGGCAGAATATCTGCATTTAGGGACATCGAGTGAAGACAAATGGACGGTGTTGTGCGTCACGAGCAGGCCAATACGCCAAAAACGCAGTTTTACCGACCTAATGCTCTACTTATGAGGTTGCTGAAAACACCAGCAGAATTCGTATCACCAATAGGATAGAATGAACAGTTAGGTGGCTTCCAGTTCATAGAAAATACACTAATCGGCTAGAAGGTACAGACTGTCAGCGATTGAAATGTACGTGGATTTAATGTTTTCAACGGTTGCTATTTTGTTGTACCCATGCTTAAAATCTCGGAAACCTTGTCACATCAAACGTCTACCATTGAGATGCTTGTCACATACTAAGATCATATTCTTTGGTCGTTCCGAGAAGGATACCGCCTGAGCGAAGTCCTAGCTGGCTCCATTATTGGGCTGAGTTGATGCATCCTGACGGCGTTATTTGAATAGTTTGTATTGTGAGAATAGTTTATAGTTTCCACGTCCCCTCAACCAACTTCACCTAGTACATGCGTGTTTACTAGGTCACGCGACTCGCCTACTACACAAGCACACAAATCACGTGACAAACGCCGTCCCGCCCACAACCTTGACCGACTTTCCTATATATGGGAAGATACAACACAGTCAGCACGCACGGACTCGCACGCGCGCAGGGAGCAACGAGTCGTCCAAACACTCCAAGTCCATGGACAATTATGGAACACGTGTAGCAGCCAAACTGCGGAGAAAACACGTTACCGCCGTCCGGACTTTCACCAAGGGACTCTCACATACGACAAGTTCCCTTTTGACTTGCTCCAGATTTTATATTGCCTTCATTTTACACATGCTGCAAATCGCTTCTGTAAACTACTGTCAACCACAGTAAAGACCGTTATCAGTGCACTAATAAGTTCGCTCCCAGCGATTCTCTGTAATTCTTGTAGGCCAATGTCATTCGTCTTGCTTTTAAATGTACAAAATTTTGACCTGTCGATTCTTCCGGTTTCCACATGTTAACAGCTTCCCCTATCATCCTGTCCCACTAGTTTGCGCCAGGAACTGTACAGAAATATGTTGTATCGAATACCTCAACACCTTCACAGTCTAATGGGGAGGCGGTTAGGCGCACTCGCTCAGTTTAGCAACTAGGCCAGCTGTCGTTACTATTTAGCTGGGATAATTTCGCATCGTCTATATAGAGCTTCAAGACTACGAGTGTCGACAACAATGTATTGATGTCCAGTCCAGCAGTTAGATGACCTTGGATGGAAAAGCAGGACTATGGGGCATGGCCACTCGGTGGAAAGCAACCTGAATTGGAACGACCGATCATGTGTTGAAACTTCCTTGGTATACACAACGGTCGTAATTCAACAGATCATGTTACTCCGCGTACTGAAGGAACAACAAGCTGGGGCTCAACGTCGCGTAAACTAAACAGTCGATTCACATCTCGAGGCCACAAGTGAATATTCAGCTCACCTCCACATGCACAGCGTTACAAAAGAATAGGAGTGGTACATCTTGCAGTTAGTTTTGGCAGTGCCAATCAAAGGGAACACAAACCAAACCACTCATATCACCCGGAAACAAGAACAACGCGCAAAAGTTGTTTTTATTAGGGCTAAGAGTGGAGCGGATAGTGTGTTGTGTACATACCAAAATGGTACACACGAGCAAAAACACTCGCCCGAAGATTGAACTTTAGTCCCCGTCTTCAGAGATTTACGCCAAGTTTGCTTACTTACACTTATTTGCATTGTTTCAGTCCATATCTACGCGCAAAAGAATGACTGCACCCTAAAAGGACTCGTCCCTAGATATCACAGAAAATGGTCTACCCCATCTCCGAAGTAAATTTTTAAAAAATATCACAGCACAATGCAAAGCAATGCAAGTGAAAATATCACAATACAGCAGCGGCCCCGGTGAATTTGAACACACGCCATCGTCTGATGCACACGAACGTCTGGTACAACAGTCACACGCCATCGTCTGATGCACACGAACGTTTGGTACAACAGCAGCAGAGCCGGAAAGATGGCACTGATCAGCCAGTAGATAGAGGCCACAAATACCCATGATCGTCTGGTGGTAGACAGTAAAGGAAAAAGAAAAAATATATAAGGGGTTCACACAAGAACCATCATAAGGCGTGAAAAACATCCGCGTGCATGCTCGAGATCAGCAACTTTCGGCGCTTGAGAAAGGAGTGGCATGCAAAGTTTCGTGGGGATTAGCACTGCATACAAATCATAGATTAGGCGGATCCGAAATGTGCGACAAAAACCGGAGCAACCCAGATCGATAGAAGCTAGACTGGATGAAGCATGAAAACGCATTCCTTGGAAGAAATATGATCGTTGGGGAAGAGGATTAGTTACTATTGATCTGATCATTTTTTACACGTAAAGATGCACTACTAAGGTAGGGAAGGCCAACGATTGGATACTCCCTGTAAAAATTAGTGGAAGATTGAAGGAGACACATTCACGCTAGTATGATAGGATGTAGGCCAACAGGTGTTGAAAAGTTGGAGACCATAACAAGAGTGGAAGAAAGGGAGGGAGAGAATTCCAAAGTTCAGCGGTCCTTGAGGAGAAGGCAGAGACTAAATCAGCTAGAAAAAAGGGGGATTATGGCTTGACAGCGTTGGCACGAGGAACGCAGACGAGTGTAACGACTGACGTTTAGGGACGTGGAAAGTTAGGCTATCTCAGAACAGCAACGATTATGCTAGTAGAAGTGGAATGGTGGTACAGAAACTACACTTCGACGGTTAACGAGAGAGTGACAAGACACTCAATCTCTTCTAGATGTTATCAAGTATAGAAAAAAGGAAAGAGCTCGACACTCCGAACGTGTACTAGTATGCTGAGATGGCCTGAATTCGCGATCTGAATGATATACAAATATACTTGAGTGCACGGCATGCTCGCGATTGGAAGAGGAAGTCAAACTTTTTGGAAGCGCTCTAAACGAGAGATTTCACATAGACAGATTAAGAAAAGCCACGAGAATCCACCAATCCAAGACGGATAAGCAAAAATATACTCCAATACCACAGACGGTCGTAAACGAGAAGGACGGAGAGAGAGCGGGGAAACGTGGATAGGCGGATGAACCAAACTCAGGATTGAAAAAGACAAAAACAGACGGAAGATCATGCCAGCAGTATGGATGCAAACAGCAAGAGAAAAAATAAAGCAGCTCGTTTTACGAAACGAACGAGAAGCCGAACATAGATCAGCGAAAATCTACGCTACAAATGCATATTACAGGAGAATACTTACGTCAGTCGTTTAGATAGCTGCACTGCAAGGATAAATACGAAGAGGCCAATATCAACCAGCATGCGAGAGTGCCTGTTACTGAACTGGAGGCAGAATATTCCGCGATTTCAGAAGGGCTTGGTAAACAGTCAGTAGTTTGTCTACACAGGATTGCAGGCGACGTATTGCCCAATGGAATTGTTTCAAGAATAAACACACAGTAAGGTATAGCAGCCGCGGTCATGTCGTCCAAAAGTAGAGTAGAGATTGGACTCACCTATTCTCCCTTTCTTCCAATTCTGGCGCATCGGCAGCATCAATTATGTATCACGATTGGAAACTTTGTCGTTTCCTATTTCCCCGTAAATTTGGTTCGCCCTGGGGTCGCCAGTTTCTCGCATTAGGAAACGCGAAACGTTTGTCCAATTTTTTGTATCTAGTCGTCCCTCGTCAACCCCAAACCAGAATCTCCGGGTCTCCCCGACCTACCTTTCACTATCCGCAATTACTAGGACGATCTTTCCACTTTGATGGATTCCTCCTAGTGTTCTGCAGTTGTGGCTTTCGAATTCGATCCAATCATCTACAGATTCTCTATCCACCCTTATTTACTGACATTTTTTTAGATCTTGGAAGAAAACGGTGCCTTTCTCATTGCTACAGTTATGATCCCACAGGGTACTAACCCATCGCCATTACTACCATTTCGTACAAAATTGAGAAAACACTTCTGGCCAAATTATCCGGCCGCGGTTTCAATGATCCATTCAGAGAATACCCTCCAGAGTTACTACTAAAGCGGGTTTAGACGCCAGTAATTTACGTGCAACATGTTCACCCATGTTATGCATTTGGTCATCTCAGCCGGATTATTTTGGTGATCGGTCCCGATACACTGAAGGTCATTGATCAGCGTTGATGCGTTGACGTTGTTACAAAACTTCATGTGAACCACCAGTAGCTAGGCTCAAAGATACGGACGCGTCTACCCGAAGTATGCATTGGTTTTGGAGCAGACGGATGAAATTAGACATCCACTGTTCCACAACTCGTAGGTGTGCAGTGAGTATATTCCGGTCAACATATGGGTGTCTAGTCGCAACGGAAGCATTAGCAAGGACACCACAGCGAAGGGGTGCCCAAGACAACCACGACGGTCATTTCTACCAACCATCACCCATTGTGCGACTCACAAAGCTCTTGTCTAACCACGAATGAAGACCAAATCCCTAGAAGAAAGCGTATAACCTCCTTGGTACTTCCTCATACAGGGGAAGCGCATGATCATAAGGAAGCTGTTGCGCTCCAAAGTAGCAAAAATTCAGCGAAGAAAGCGCCGATTGTAACATAGCCAATAATTGAGAAAAAGGGAGGAATAGCACGACAGTTTGAGCGCAAATTCGAGGGAAACAAACACCATGACAGCCTCGTGGGTAGCTGAAAACTGTGATAAGCACATACAGAATGCGAGCTAGAAAATGTCACCGAATGACTGACGAGAAAACTCCTCTGTCCTGCTTCATATATATCAGGCATACAGTGGACAGTAAATCGTTTCCGGGTACACCTGTCCCACTGGACTGTAACCAGTTATCCCGCGTGTATGCTAGGTTGAAGCAAAAGTACTTTGGGCTGAATCCAGAATCATCATAGAAATTTGTATCTTGGTGCAAGCTAGCAAAAAAAGCAAAATCATTGTAAATAAGTGAAAAATACCCGGGTACCCAAATGATGAGTACGAACAACCAACCAACTGAAACTAGGCATATGAAATGGTTTGAGTGGAGGTGCAGAGCTACCAACTAGTGACCTAAAGTTCTGGCAGTGGTGGCTCACGGATGGTGATAGTCCTGACACGCAGGGATGAGGCTTTGAAATAGAATACATGTGAGGTCCGACAAGGGAAGCACGTGACCCTAAGAGGTCACTTACTCACCTCGTAATCTACTAACTTGGCCTCACGAAGCTTTTGCTCAAAAGTGAAACGTTGCGCGATTGTTACAAAACTCCTCTGTAACCGTATTGCTGTCCACCTTACCAAACTAGGACAAGATCAAATCCTGCGATTTGGAACAGTTTGTGGAGGCGAATAGTGTGGATCAAACAATAAAGAATTTCCACCAACACAACCAATCTGTTCAGTGATTATTCACACTTTCAATCCAAATACCGATGAAAAGGTCGACAGAACACAGTGCTCATCTGACCTTCCTAAGTCCTGTTGATTTCGTCGTGTCCGTACTGTCACGGCAATCCCTATCTAAGCGCCCAGAACACTGTGGAAGCGAAGTAAATCAGAGTAGACAAAAATATGAAATGATATCAGTAAGACACGTAGGTAACGAAGCCTTGTCAACAGGACTGAGGCTTTGTCAACTTGCCAGTTCTGTTGACTTGGGAAACAGAAGCAGAACGTACAACGCAGTCATCCAGGTAACTGATTCTTAGCTGTTGCCTTCTATGAGAAAAAGATACAAAACTGTGGTAACCCGCAGGCACCCGTTGCATATGTATCGATGAAAAAAGTACCAGAAGAGGAGTGAGCAACTGCA